CATGATGCTTTGGACCTGCTGGTTATTCAAAGGGCTCTCTGTCCCCTACCTCCTACCCAAAGTCTAACTGGGTGATGTCACTCTAATTGATCCAGTCCCAGATAACATCAAAACCCTGACCGCCATTTATGGTGAACTCGTTTTCCAGCCAGGTGCATCATTTCTCTAATGGCCCTTGCCTGTAATCCTAGCTATGTGGGAGACAGAAGTAGGAGGATCAAGGTTCCATGCTGGCCCTGGGCAAACACAAAACACCCTACCTGGAAAGTAAGTAAGACCAAAAGGGCTGAGGGTGGGTTCAAGGGGTAGAAAATCTGCCTGGAAGCATGAGGCCTGAGGTCAAACCCCATTACTGCCAAATAAACAAAAAAGGTAGACATCTTCTCTGCATCTCCTCCAGCTTGGTGGCCACAGAGAACTAGGCTTGGGAACTTATTATGGTTTGAGTATGAAATGTTCCTCACAGGTTCATGTGGGGCTGGATGCTTAGTCCTCGTGTTGTGACACTATTTAACGTTAAGGTTCTAGAAAATTCAGGAGATGGGAGACTGGTTGGGGAAGTCATTTGGGGTGTGCCTTTGAAGGTCATACTAATTCCTAGTCCCCTCATTGCTCTCTGCTTCCTATCTGCCATGAAGTAAACATGCTGCCTTCTCCTAGACTCTGCCACCATGATGTACTGCTGGAGCTCCTAGAGCTAATAGTCCATGGACAGTACCCTTTGAAGCCATGAGCCAAAATAACTCTCTCCCTTACATTGTTTCTTTGTTTGGGGATTTTTTTATTGCTGGTCGTGGGGCCTGAACTCTGGGCCTGGGTGCTGTCCCTCAGCTCTTCAGCTCAAGGCTAGCACTCTACCATTTGAGTCACTTCTGGCTTTTTCTGCTTATGTGGCACTGAGTAATTAAACCCAGGGCCTCATGCATGCAAGGCCAGCACTTTACCACTGAGCCACCTTCCCAGCCCTCTCTTCCATTGTTTATGTCAGTGAGAGTCACAGTGAGAGAAAGCTAGCTCACATGGAAAGATCATTCTTTGTTCCTTCCTCTTCTTGCACTGCAGGCCACGTGTTGGTTGGACATTCTCCAGCCCCAAGCAAAAGGAGATGAGAGAGACTGCAGAGTTTTTTTTTACTAATGCTATATTCTTTCTTTTTTCCCTTTTATTTTTTTCCAGTACTGGGGCTTGAACTTAGGACCTGGGCACTTGCTGTCCCTTAGCATTTTTGCTCAAGACTGGCACATAACCACTTGAGTTACAGCTGCATTGCTGGCATTTTGATGGTTAACTGGAGATAAGAGTCAGATTTGGCTGTCCTGGCTGGCTTTGAACCTCAGTCCTCAGATCTCAGCCATTCTTAGCTAAAACAGACTGTGGGTATGCTAGTTCCATCCCAGTGGGAGCCTTCTTCTCAGCCCCCAAAGTCACTGGCCAGTAACCATAGGAGTCCCAGGCCATCCCTAGACTTTTCTTTCTAGTCTGCCCTTGAACCATGGTCTTCTGGGTCTCAGCATCCCAGGTAGCTATGATTATAAGCATGAGCCACCAGCTCCTGGAGAGGGTTTTTGTTTTAGTTAAAAACTATAATGTGCCTGCTCTTAAGATGAACACAAAAAACATACAAGGACCTGAGTTAATTCAGGCCATGTACAGGAGCTACTCCTTTCAAAATAGCAGACCACTTCCCAGGCCTCCCCAGAGCCTGCTGCCTGATTTCTAGTCATCTCTGGAGGTTCTTATCATATGCATGTTGATTTTATTTTGCAAGTAGGTACAAAGGAAGACTTAAGTCAAAAGAAATGGTATTTAACAAGGCCTTGTTAAAAATAGTCACTTTCTGGATTTTAGTCAGGCATTGATCCCTGTCTGGGATCAATGTTTTGTTTTCTGTCATTTATTTCTCATCTTTGGTTCTCTCTCACCGAAAGACACTCTTTTCACCCCTGACTGCACAGTTAAATTGTGTGAGACTTGCCGGCCTGCCTCTTTCAATCTGCTTCCTCTACACATAAGTTTGTGTTGGCCTCCTCAAGGAAGAAGCCAGGACATTTCATGTTTTGTCAAACCTGCTCTCGGGGGCTTCTAGGAAAATAAGGAAGGATGGAACATGAAATCAAATCAAAGCAGTGCTGAGTGGTAATGCAGAAAATGTAAAATCAACCTGGTGCTAGTGGCTCACACCTATAATCCTAGCTACTGAGGAGGCTGAGATCTGAGAATTATCATTCAAGAGACAGCCTGGGAGACAAATTCAACATTCTTATCTCTAACCCACAAAAAACTGGAAGTGGAGAGGTGGTTTAAGGGGTAAGCCTTGAGTGAAAAAGCCAAGCAAGAGCCCAAGGCCCTGAGTTTGATCACACATACCCACGTAAAAAGAAAGAAGGAGAGAGAGAGAGAAAGTAGAAGGAAAGAAGAAAGGTAGGGAGGGAAGGAGGGAAGGAGGAAAGAGGAAGAAAGGAAGGAAGGAAGGAAGGAAGGAAGGAAGGAAGGAAGGAAGGGAGGGAGGAAGGGAGGGAGGAAGGGAGGGAGGGAGGAAGGAAGAGAGGGAGGAAAGAAAGAAAATGTAAATTCATTTCTTGACACTGTTAACATGATGGCTTTCCCTACTGTGCATTTTCCTTTTTATATTTTTTAAAATTATCTTTATAGTCAGTTGTACAAAGGAGATAGCACATAACAAAGCAGTTTATGAATACAATGCATTTTGATCAGTGTCATCCCCTTCAACATTCTCACCCCCCCTTTAGCCCACCCCTTTCTGTCTTCATTTTGTGGTATATACAATGAATTCTTGACTACATTTCCCCCTTTCTCCTCTTCATTCCTCTACCTCTTTCCCCTTGCCCCCACCCCCCTCTTGAATATATCCATTTCTTGGCTTTTAGTTGATTTTGTTGGGCTTTGACCTGGAATCTATTATACTTCAGTTAATTTGTTTATAACCACTTGTGTACAGTACAGCCTATCCCAACATGTTTACGTATAGATTTGTTGGTATCTTCTATCTACCAAAGTGAAAGAAACCATACAACCTTTGTTTTCCTGGGTTTGCCTTTATTTTAATATAATTTTTCCAAGTCTTTCCATTTCCTTAAAAACGGTACAAAAATTCTTTCTAATAGATGAGTAAAATTCCATTGTGTATATTGTCTTAATCCGTTTGTCCATCCAGGGGCATCTAGGCTGATGCCATATCTTGGCTATGGTGAATAGTACTGCAATAAACATGACTGTGCTGATGGCTTTACTGAAACCTTGTTTATGTGCTATTAGGTAAATGCCCAGGGTTGGGAGTGCTGGGTCATTGGGATGCTCTACATTTATATATTTTTTTTATTTTATTGTGAAAATACCATACAGAGGAGTTATAATTACACGGGCAAGGTATTTAGTACATTTCTTATCAAGCATTATTGCCTCTTCCTTTGTTTCCCCTTCCCATCCCTTCCCATCTCCCACCCCACCCCACCCCATACGTTTATATTTTTGAGGAATCTCCATACTTCTTTCCAGAGTAGCTGAAAAAGTTTACATTCCCACCAACAGTGTATGAGTTCTCATTTGGCCACATCCTCAACAGCATTTGTTGTTGTTTGTTATCTTGATGGCCAATCTAACTGAGGTGAAGTGAAATCTCAGTGTATAATGGGTGAAGTGAAATATATTATGTATTTTTTTCTTTTTTTATTATGAAAATACTGTACAGAGGGGTTACAATTACATGGGCAAGATGATGAGTACATTTCTTATCAAGCATTGTAGCCTCCTCCTTTGTTTCCCCTTCCCATCCCTTGCCATCCTCCCCCATCCCTCCACCCAAGCCCCTCCTCCCACCAAAGTTGTAAAGTTTGTTTTCATCATAACGACTTGTATGTCTCATTGTTACAATGGGTCCACCTGTATCTCTAGTTAAACGATTTGTTTTTTTCCTTCCCCTCCACAAATTATACCCACATCAAATACAGTGAAAGCAGGGGTTATACTGTGGGGGAGGGACATACAAAGCAACAAAGAAATAATCTTATAAATGTGTTAGAAACAATCGCATGAAAGAAAAAACACATTTGAATACATATCTTAGGGTTCATTTCCCTAACATCACCTTATCTGAAGTGTATTTTCACTGTAATCCAGGGTTTCCACATCCAACAAGTGTGTGTCTGTATCCATGCCTGCCATTAACCTCTTCTGACAAGTAAACAGGCAGAACTCTATGGCCTCAGGCATAGTATCAGTCCCCTCCAATAAAAGGCATGTCCAAGTAACTTGGAGCTGAGATGCTGAATCAGAAGGAGCTGTGCATTTCAGCACCTTAATAGCACTTATTTATAAAACCTAAGAAGTAATAAGAATTAAGTCAGTAAGTAAATAAATAAATAATGACAACAAAAATGACCATCACCTCAAGGGAAAAAAGAAGACAACAGTAGAACTACAGCAGCTGATGGCATGGATTGTGATACAACTATTAACCTGCTTCCAGGGAGTTCCTAATGACAGAGGAAATAGTTATGGTACATTGCAGAGTGACAGGCATGCCAATTATATAATGCCACAGGATGCATATTATTGAGACATTAAAAAATACTAGAAGTGCTGGGTGCTGGTGGCTCATGCCTATAATCCTACCTACCGAGGAGGCTAAGATCTGAGGACTGAGGTTCAAAGCCAGCCCAAGCAGGAAAGTCTGTGAGACTCTTATCTCCAAAATTAACCACCAGAAAACCAGAAATTGTGCTGTGGCTCTGGCTCAAGTGATAGAGCCTTGAGCTCAAGGTCTTATCTCTGATGTTGAGATTTAAATGGCAGTTTTCTCTTTGTGGCATCTTTCAATTTGTAAAATGGTCTGATTTTATTTCTTTTACAAATTTTGCTTACATTTATTTGTCATTACCATCTGTAGAGAGGAGATACAATTTACACATGGTAAGCTAAGAAACTGAACCTTTATTTCTTACTTTTCCCGTTACATCTTTAAATTTGACTTCTTCTTTCAGCTGGTGCACTTGGTTTTTCCTGATCTTGGCACCCGGAGGCTGGGCACCAGGGGAAGTACCAGGTGAGCTCATTACCTTTATTTTAGGGGTTAAAAAATGAGGGTCTGGAAAGTCAGAAAATAAGTGACAAATTATGCAGCACAAGGCAAGCTACAAATAGCAACTTCTACTAAATAGAGCTCAGAATTCAAGTTAAGTCTTCATCTGAAAACCAGTTAGGCACTACTAGATTCAAACACTGATCTCTGATTATTTCGGAATTTATATAATATGTGTATGTTTCATATATATAATTCATTTATATATGTATATTTGGGTTCAGTGCTTTAAATATTTGGACATGTGGCTATCTAATTATGGACATGTTTAAGTAAGTACACAGAATAACAGATTCCTTGAATGAAAATTTGTAAGGATCCACTCAGCAAGTCTGAACTACATTCAGGAGACTAGGGCCTATAGTTACAGTTTCACAAGAAATAAAATTCCAGCGTTATCAGGCATATAGTTATCATCATTGTCACTCAGTTATTACTTTCATTGGTTGTTTATTTCAAATCAAGATGGAAAATCGGGGAAAATTAGAAAAAGGGCCAGCCACCTCAGAAGGAACCTGAGAAAAGATTGGTAAACTTTGTGAGTTTACCAAATGTAACCCAGGGCAGTTAAGGAGTTGAAAAATCACCATTCTATTGTGAGCCTGGACAGGTTCCTGCAGTCTTCCGGTGTCTGCAGAGACCTGGGCTGCAGGTAAGAGAATCACAGATTCAAGTGGTGGTAGCCCTGCTAAGGTGACAGTGCAGAGACTTAAGAAAGCAGAGGGGAGACCTCCAAGCTAATGCTGCCAGCTATGTAGGAAGTCCTTTGGCTGGGATATGACCTGAGAAACAGCAAGCTGAAAATGCACTGGATACTCTTATACCAACTCTTGTTTCTGGAGGTAGAGCATCCTGTTTCCTTTCACTCCATCATAGGCTGCCTTGGAGCTCCAGCCCATAGCTGGTCCCTAGCATGGCAAGAGTGATGAATCCCACATTGTTAGTTTGGTAATAGACTCTGATTTACAATCCACAGCGTGTACAGTCAAGACACTTGCACAACCACATTCATTGCTGCACTATTCATCATTATCAAATTATGGAAACAGCCCAGATGTCCTTCAGTGGACAAATGGATCAAGAAAATGTCACACACACACACACACACACACACACACACACACACACACACACACCGGAATTTCACTCATTCATTAGGCAAAACATTGTTATGAGAAACAGATGGATCTGGAAAATAATATGTCAAGTGTAGTAAGGCAGGTACAGAGAAACAAAAGTCACCTGCTTTCTCTAATTTATAAATATATGTGTGTAAACATTTACAGTGTGATATGTATACACACAAATGTGTTAACAAAAATATGGCATACACATGGAGAATTCTGATGGTGTAGCTTTTTTGACCAACTTATTTACAATCTAACAAAATGAAATACCGGGAAGTTGGAACTTGAGGTGTCAGTGGAGGATGGACAAATGGAGGTCAAGGGAAAGGGGGATAGACAAATGGAGAGAAGGGACAAGAGAATAAAATCCTTGCATTCAGTGTATGTATGTGAAAATTAAGCTAGGAAAATTGAGGGAAGGGTGTGACTAGGAGAGATAGGGGAGAATGATGGAAGAGGGTGGCATGGATTAAAATACATTGTATTCATAAACACAGGTTGGCATAAAACCCTTTCATACAGCCACTCAAAGATAATAAAATAACAAGGTGCTGGTGGCTCATACCTGTAATCCTAGCTATTCAGGAGGCTGAGATCTGAGGATCATGGCAGGAACTCCATGAGATTCATCTCCAATTAACCACTAGAAAACCGGAAGTAGTGCTATAGATCAAATAGGTAAAGTGCTAGCCTTGAGCAAAATTGTTCAGGGACAGTGCCCCAGGTCCCAAGTTCAAGCCCCATGACTGACTAAATAAATAAATAAACAAATTCACAGCATCGTTTCCTCTAAGTACATACCACTTTCATAACATCATGAAATTGAAACATGGTAAGTCAAACCATTACAAAGAGGAGAAATTCTAAGTTGAGCCATCACAAGTTGTGGGTAGTCTGTACCAGGAAACTGTTCACCTAACTCATCATGGTCAGGCTTTCTTAACAACTTGGGTCAATGATGAAAGCTGGGTCTTCATCCATTGGCTTCTCATCTCCCACATGGCATGCAAGTAGTTGAACAAAATTTCAAAGTATACTTTCCATCTTCAGGTATCATTATGATGGACTCTACATCAAGAAAAGTTCTTTCTTCTACACCCAGTACTGTTATCTACTGGGTAAAAAAGGCTGTCACAGGTGAGTGTCTGTCACTTGGGTACAAAGTTAGTTACCATGAGAGTCCTTCATATTTTATTGTATCCATCTGGCTTCAGGTGTTTTTAATGGCTTTAATTAATTAATTAGTTATTAATCAAACTGTTACTGGGATTTGAACTTAGGGCCTGGGTGCTGTCCCTTATTTTTTTCACTTAAAGCTGGTACTCTACCATTTGAGCCACATCTGTACTTCTGGCATTTGGGTGGTTAATTGGGGATAAGAGTCTCACAGACTTTGCTGCCTGGGCTGGCTTTGAACTGTGATCCTCAGATCTCATCCTCCTGTGTAGCTAGGATTACAGGTGTGAGTCACTGGTGCCCTACTTCAAGCCTTTCTTAAGGATGAAAACACACCCATCACATTAGTGCACCATTGATCAACCCATTCTGTCAGTCTATGGCCATGTTAGTGGCCAGAAAAATCCATTTCCAGTTCATTTCTATGGATGTTTTTCTTTTTTTCTTTTTAATTTTAGATGTTCAGGGCCATGTCCCTGCAAAATATGATGGCACACTACCACTTGAGCCACATCTCCAGGCCTGCTTTTTTCTGGTTATTTTTGACAAGGAATCGTGCCTGAACTACAGTTCACCTACTTTTAGGCTTCTCATTGTTACTAGGATAATAGGTGTGCAACACAATATCACCTTGTGGCTTCCCATCTTCCTTTCCCATTAGTGCAGGCATTTCCCAAGGTCTGTCTTGGTAATTCGCGTTACTGCCCACCTCTTGGCTCTAGCACCCTCCCGCTTTCTGTCTATCATCATTGCCTCCCCCACTGGTCCTCTCCCCTCCCACTCCCCAGGAATACCTCTCTGACTCTTCACAGGACATTCCATTTACATGACCCACTGAACCTCACCCTAAGTTTGGGGAAATCTCAACTTATAAATTATAACCTCCTCCAAACTGCCTCTGCCTCTTGACTTACTTCTACTTAGGATGCTGGCAGATAGAATCCATATGAAGCGAGCTGGGCACAAGTGGCACATGCAGATAATCTTAGCATCCCAGGAGGCTGAGATCTTAGGATCCCTGTTTGAAGTCAGCTTGAGCAGAAAAGTACACGAGACTCTTATCTCCAATTAACCAGCAAAAAGCTGGAAGTGGAGCTGTGGCTCAAGAGGTAGAGCTCCAGCTTTGAGAGAAAAAGCAAAATGAGGCCCTGTTCATGTCCCAGTACCAGCACACACACACACACACACACACACACACACCCCGAATCTGTACAAAGTATTATCTAAAGCTACCTTTGATTCCCTTAGGTGACACAGCCTTATTGATTCTTTTGGTTCTCCAGCCATGTAGTTTGGCTCCTGGCATTTTCTTTAAGCCCCTCATCATATGACACTGACATTAGAGTTGGCCAAATGTATTGGAGGGTTTCATGTCCACAGATTGAACAACCTCAGATGTTGTGCTTGGTAGTTAGACCTACAATCACTGCATTTCTACTAGCATGATTATTATTATTTTATTGTAAAGGTGATGTACAGAGGTGTTAGAGTTACATAAGTAATGAGTACATTTCTTTTTGAACAATGTTACCCCCTCCCTCATTTTCTCCTGCCTTCCCTCCCCCAATTCCCATCCCGCCAAGCTGTATAGTTCATTTCCAACATAGTATTTAGTGAGTATCACTGTTGCATTGCTTCACCCATGGTTTCTGTGGTTCCCTTTCCCTTTCCCAAATCAGATAAACTTATATACAAGACAATGGGTACTGAAATCAAAGACAGACAAATCCATTTCCAGTTCATTTCTATGGATGCTTTTATTTTTTTGTTTTTAATTTTAGATGTTAGTTCAGGGCCATGTCCCAAAAGAAATAACTAAAAGCAGTACACTAAGAACAAAACAAAACAAAACAACTACCTCTTGTTTCCATATCTTGGAGTTCTTTTTGATTAGCATCATTTTTATATGGTCATATGTACATAGCTATTGAGCTATTGTGATCCTCTGCTAGGATTATCCTAGGTATATAGTGATTATTATAAATGAGGGAAACCTATGCTATTAGCCTATGCTAATCAGTGTAGTTATTATTAGGCAGTCTAAAGTTATCTAGAATTGACTTATAATATATGGGAAGGTTGGGCACTGGTAACTCACATTTGTAATCTTAGCTACTCAGGAGGCTGAGATCCAGAAGATTCTGCCAGCTCAGGCAGAAAATTCCACAAGACTCCATCTCCAACTTATCTGCAAAATACTAGACTGGAGGCATGGTTCAAATGTAGAGTGTCATTTGTGAGCAAGATGGCTTACATGGCTCTAGAAGACCCAGAATTCAAACCCCAGTACTCATACACAATAAAATAAAATAGCATATTGATGAGTTTAGGTTCTATGCAAATACAATTTTAAATGAAACTTGGACTCATTGGTCTTGGATCCAATCCCCTGTCGGTACTGAGAGACCACCGTACTCATGGATTCTACAAGGCCTCCCTCTCCTCAGCTCTTCACTACTCAAAACACGGCCACCAAACTAAAGTTCCTAAAATTCCACATTTGCTCTGCCTCTCCCCTGTTTCTCTTACATCTGGGATAAAACCCACACCCCCGGATTAGTGTTCAAAGCCAGTTCCTTCCTATTCCACCTTCAACCATTTTGCCTGAGAGATCTTCTGGAGCCCCATTCATTCTTTGGGTTCCTGAGTGGAACTGTCCCCAGCCATGCCAGCTCCGGGAAAACCCTCGTTGGCTTACTTTTTCACACACTTCACTGTCGATCCCCAACCAGCATCTCTGCATAACTCACAAGCTGTATGGCTGGACTTGACAGTAAAGGATGACCCTGGAAGGCAGGCTCAGCGAGCTGACTGCCATGCTACAGATGGGGTTGTCTTCAAGCCCTTTGGAACCTAGCGTTGAGAAACAGAGTAGTCACCTTAAAATCCCCCATGGATTTTAAGAAACCATGGAGTTTTGCTTGTTTTGGTCCAGCTGTGGTTTGAATGTTTAGATCTCAAATACAACACTGTTAAAAGATGGAACTTAAGCTGGGCGCTGGTGGCTCACGCCTGTAATCCTAGCTACTCCGTTGGCTGAGATCTGAGGATCGCGGTTCAAAGCCAGCCCGGGCAGGAGGGACCTTGAGACTCCTATCTCCAATAAACCACCAGAAAACCGGAAGTGGCGCTGTAGCTCAAGTGGTAGAGCGCTCGCCTTGAGCTGAAGAGCTGA